GTAAAATGAGGCAAAACTCACTTAACAACTGTCTTGCTTAGCAACAGAAATTTTGGGCTCAATTGTGGTCGTAAGTCGAGGACCACCTATAGGCTACTGGAGGTGTTATCTACCAGTTTGCAAGGGAATGCAGTCAGTCTGGTGAGATACTTGTAAAATAGATGATCAATAATAAAGAAACTGTGTTAGCGTACTCATGAAGTTGTTCTGATTCTTTGCACTTCACATTAGGAAATAATGCTCTAATTTACAAAGTTACTGCAAGGACTACATGATATCCTGTAGAAAGTGCTTTGAACATTCCTAAGGGCTATGTAGTCCATCTTATTTGGCAAAACTTTGCTACCTTAGCTTATCTCGAAAAAAGCTAAATAGGTTTGGATCTGGTTAGTGCAATGTTCTCAACTTTAAGACTTCAACTCCCAGAATTCCCTAGCCAACTCTTGGGGAAACCACCAGGCAATCCATGTAATAAGCATGACTTAAGGTGCTTTCACCTTATTTGTTATTTACCTTGTTTAAAAAGTATATTTGAAAGCAAAAGAGTGAATTGAAAGAGTCCATTGGATTGAGATAGGCGGCTATAGAAAATGAATGAATGAATGAATGAATGAAATACATGACAGTGACAGGCATTCTCAAACATGGATTTCAAACCTTTTATTAAACAGATGGGAATATGTAATAAGAACCTGCCTGAAGAACAAGCAATCCACCTTGTTGCAAAGAAAGGTGGAAAATGGCCTTTGGAACTTATTCAGGAGAAAGCCGTTTGACCTTCTGAGAATAACCCCCCAAAAGAGGGCTTCTGGACATCACTATGGTGGGACAGATCTAGAAAGTATATAGGCTATATTACAAGAGATCCATACATTCTATGCTTTATTGCAGCTTTCTTCAAGCATGTGCCATCCAGAAGCACTGAGCTGCAACCCCACAATTCCCAGCAAGTGACCATTTGGGGAATGGGGTTCTTCTCCACCTTGGGGAATGCATGCGAAAACAGCATTAAAATAAGCTGATGTATGAATCAGAAAGAAGGATTATTATGGATCCTATAAAAAAGATAACGGTGTCCCTGTGGATTTTCCTCCCACTAGTTGTTGCCAAGTACAGGGGGCGGTGCTCATCTCTGTTTCAAGGCCATTGAGCCAGCGCTGTCTGAAGACATTCCCGCAGTCACCTGGCCAGCATTACATCAGTTTGCATGCTTTTGAACTGCTAGGTTGGCAGGAGCTGGTGCTCACCCCACGGCATGGCACTCTGGTCTCGAACCTGGGCTGCTGGCTTTCTAGCTGACAAGCTCCAGCATCGTAACTGCTGAGCCACCACATCCTCATTATTGATCCTATAACAGTGGTGGCGAACCTATGGCACGGGTGCCAGAGGCGGCACTCAGAGCCCTCTCTGTGGGCACGCGAGCCGTTGCCCCAGCAGAGTTCGCCAGAGTAGCGAGCACGTGGCGTTTGGAAGTGACAGGGCAGGAAGTGAGCGAGCAAGCGGCGTTTGCCCCCCGGGGATGCCCCGGAGATGGCGAGAGACTGGCCCCAGCCACACTCACCCAGTCTGCCATGACCACTGCAGCCACGCCCACCCAGTGCGCCATGCCCCCCATCCCCCCTGAGGGCACCACAATACTTTGCGATAAATAAGTGGGTTTTGGGTTGCAGTTTGGGCACTCGGTCTCTAAACGGTTCGCCATCACTGTCCTATAATCTCAATATATTACTTCACTGTTCCTCTGAAAATCTATATTTAGAATAGAATAGAGCTGGAAGGGACCTTGGAGGTCTTCTAGTCCAGCCTCCTGATCGAGCAGGAGAACCTATACCATTTCAGACAAGTGACTGCCCAGTCTCTTCTTAAAAACCTCCAGTAACGGCGCGCCCACGATTTCTGAAGGCAAGCTGTTCCACTGGTTAATTGTCCTCACTGCTAGGAAGTTTCTCCTTAATTCCAGGTTGCTTCTCTCTTTGATCAGTTTCCAATCATTGTTTCTTGTGTTGCTCTTTAGTGCTTTGGAGAATAGTTTGACCCCCTCTTCTTTGTGGCAGCCCCTTAGATACTGGAACACTGCTATCATGTCACCCCTGTTTCTTCTTTTCTTTAGACTAGCCAAACCCAAGTCCTGCAGCCGTTCTTCATATGTTTTAGTCTCCAGGCCTTTGATAATTTTAGTTGCTCTTCTCTGAACTTTTTCCAAACTCTCAACAACTTTTTTGTAGTATGGTGACCAAAATGGGTTGCAATATTCCAGGCGTGGTCTTACTAGGGTTTTATGAAGCGGTACTAATACTTTGCGTGATCTTAATTCTATGCCTCTGTTTATACAACCCAGGATTTGTATTAGCTTTTTTGGCTGCTGCTGCATACTGCTGGCTCATGGTCAAGTGATCGTCCACTAGGACTCCAAAGTCCCTCTCACAGTTGCTGTTTTTGAGCCAGGTCTCGCCTAATCTGTTCTTAAACTTTTGATTTTTCCTGCCTAAATGTAAAACTTTGCTTTTCTCCCCATTAAAACTCATTTTGTTGGATAGCGCCCATTGTTCAAGTTTGTCCATATCTTTTTGACCCTTTTTGGATCTGGATGATGACATAAGTGGCTTAAGATGACACACACAAATGCAGTTTTTCCACAAAATTCAATGATCAACACAGAACTTCGTCCAGAAGAAATAACAATAAAAGAATTATTCCATAGATGATTGAGAAATTGAGCCCACCGGACATTGACAAACAGACCGGAAACTATCTCTCAGAAAGAGTTCCACATGAAATCCCTATTGAATTGTGTAGTCTGCAAATGTTCACATTACGTCCATACTTAAACATGAGAATGAGGTCACTTATGAGAGCAGAGCTGTTGTAATTAAGTTAACTACTGGCATTTTCATTACCAGCCTGGCTATTTAATGAGATAATAATTCAGACGCTTAATTTGCTGGTAGCTGAAATGTGGTGCCGTGCTACTTAATTGGATGTGTCCAAGAGCATCCAAATGATTAGAAGGAGATGAGCAGAAATATTTAAATACCTTCAGAACATCAACAAGTTCAATTAAAGCAGTTCTTTTAACCTAGTTAAAAAGCTTCCCTGTTGTTTCAGGAAGAAGAAAAGATCTTAAACATATCTAATGCAATAGATATATACTTGCAGATATTAACCAAATCTGGATTCCAAATCTGAAGGTATACTCTAAGTAATACATTAACACTGGAATAGTTGAGGATCTCCTGATTTTTTTCTCCTTACAGTTTAAATAATGTACTCAGAATTTGAAATAGTTCTAGGATTAGAAAAATACTATTTTCTGGGGTGGAACTGGGGTGTAACGCTTTTAAATGTACTTTTGCAGCCACAGCTGCTTAAAATCAGAAATTTGTTTGGAAAGATTATTATCATTAATAAGATTCAGAGAACTCATCTGATAAAAATGTACTCTCATCTTTCTCTGACTCTTTCAAAAAGTATTTATTCAGAAGGTCCTATGATTTAGGGCAGTGATGGTGAACCTTTTAGAGACCGAGTGCCCAAACTGCAACCCAAAACCCACTTATGCATTGCCGGGTGCCGGGTGGGTGTGGCCCATTGGCTGGGTGTGGCCAATTGGGGGTGTGTGGGCCATTGGGTGGGCGTGGCTGCGGTGGTAACAGCAGACTGGGTAGGACTAAAAAGTTCAATCAATCAATTCCAACTTTGCAAGATCTTTTTTTTCCCCACGAGAAGTTGAAATTGACTGATTGATTGAACCAAAAAAAAAGCGAAAAGGTTTTATAAAACCCAGCTGAAGGCCTAGGATTGGGGCGACGGCATGTGTGCCTACAGAGAGGGCTCTGAGTGCCGCCTCTGGCACCCATGCCATAGGTTCGTCACCACTGATTTTGGGTGGGCACATATATTTGTCTGTGTATGTATGAGCCATCTTTGTGTGTTTGCCCACATGGCAAAGGTAGACAACGTAGTGGTGTGTGTGTGTGTGTGTGTATACAGAAGAGAGAGCGAGAGAGAGAGACAGAGAGAGAGAGAGAGAGAGACAGAGACAGAGAGAGAGTTTATATACACTGTATATAAAATTGCCATTATCAGTGCCCAACCAGCTGGTAGCTCCTGGCTGATCTCAAAAAAAGCTAAGCAGGGTCAGGTCTGGTTAATACTTGGATGGGAAACCATTGGAAATACTAATGCTGTAGGCTAGACTGGGAAGTAAAAAATTAAAAAGAAAAATCCCAGGAGACAAGGCAAACCATGTCCATGTTGTTGCCAAAAGAACTAGAGAACCATGTTCATCAAATCACCAGGAGTCAAGGTAACTCAAAGGAGACTTTCATTTTGCCCGGCTAAATAACGGATTTCAAAAATGAAACCGAGTGAGTCCTGGATAGACCGTGGTTAGGAAACCACCAAGAAATCCCAAGACAGCTAGACCAGAAATTGCAATGGCTTTTGGGAAGAGGGCAATGGCAAGACGCTTCCTCATTATTGCCAAGAAAATTACATGAAGATGTTCATGAAGTCAGAAGTTGAACATGATTCATAGGGAGACTTTATTGTTGAATCTCGGTTTTGTATGGCGTTACAACAGAGTAGGTGATTTCTAACTGCATTTGCTCTTCTGTCCCAAAGCAAGGTATCCATAAATGGTCACTACAGTACTGATGAAATTCAATCCCACTCAATGTAGCTACAATATTCTGAATCAATAGTCTATATTCTACCTGTCTTTTCTTAGGGAGGCTATTTCTAACAGTTGCCCCAAAAGATCCTACATTTCTTTTTCTCCTTCCATGTAACACCTTGACAAGCTGTTGGTCTAAATATAATGCTGTTGGCTTACCTTCCACTAGGTGCCACATATTCAATACCCCCATTTATCCTGATCAACTCTACTTAGGTGGGAAGCTAACTAACTAACATTGAGAGCCACTTTGGTATAGTGGTTAAGGTGCTGGCCTAGAAAATGGGAGACTTAGGCACGAAAGCCAATTGGGTGACTTTGGGCCAATCATCAGGAGACTGTGAGTTCTAGTCCCGCCTTAGCCATGAAAGATGGCTCGCTGACTTTGGGCCAGGAACTCTCTTAGCCCAACCCACCTCACAGGGTTATTGTTGTGGGGAAAATGGGAGGAGGAAGGAGTATTGTGTGTGTTGAATTATTTAGAAAAATAATAAAGGCGGGATAAAAAGAAATAAACAAAGTACATGAGGAGGACAAGGTGACATGCAGAATTCTTCAAACCTGACATTTCTTGGCCTCAAGTTAGAGGAATGTATATAAACTATAGTATGCTATAGGGACAGCCACATTAATCTATTCCACTGCTTAGAACAGGGGTCTTCAAACTTGGCCCTTGTATGACTTGTGGACTTCAACTCCCAGAATTCCTCAGCCAGAGGAATTCTGGGAGTTGAAGTCCACAAGTCATAAAAGGGCCACGTTTGAAGACCCCTGGCTTTGAATCTGAAAAGCAAAAGAGAAACAAACCTGGTATTAAGCAAACACTACTAAAGCTGAACAAAAGAAAGGCCTCTGACACAAACCCTGAGATGTTGTGCTTTATTCTGCAATCTTGACAGCAAATTTGGGCAGAATGGCGATGGTTCCTCCTCCACTCCTTCCCTTTTTCCTCTAGCACATCACATTATGCTTACAGCAGAAAGGAAATGTGTCATCTCTGTGGTTTAGTTTTCTAAATGGAGAACTAAACACCATGTTTCAGACGCACGTTCGCTTTTAATTTATAAAAACATCCCCAACATCCAGGCGGTGCCACAGTAGACCGAGAAAAATACCTCTGGGTTAGATTATCACCGATTTGCACAACTATACTTTCTGCTGACATCTCCTTCAGGTAAGTCTGCATTACTTCTGACATGACAGCAGTGTTCCAATATTTGAGGGGCTGCCACAGAGAGGAGAGGGCGGGGTCTACCTATTTTCTAAAGCACCAGAACGCAGGACAAGAAGCAATGAATGGAAACTAATGAAGGAGAGAATCAACCTGGGAGTCATTTCCTGACACTGACAACAATTAAATCAGTGGAACGACTCGCCTTCAGAAGTTGTGGGTGCTCCAACACTGAAGGTTTTGAAGAAGAGATTGGTCAGCCATTTGCCTGGAATGGTATAGGGTCTCCTGCTTCAGCAGGGGGTTGGACTAGAAGACCTCCAAGGTCCCTTCCAACTCTTGTTATTCGGTACTCTGTGATCTTTCCTTTTATACTTTTCAACTTGCTCTGTGCCGCAGCTTATAGTACAAAAGAAACAAAAGTGTCTTACTGAGATTGGCTTAGACTCAATGCAGGAAGCTTGTGGAAAAAAGAAAACAGGGCATGCTCCTAATTGTATCTTAAAGGTTATTTACACAGGAAAAGAGAGAGAGAGAGAGACAGAGAAAAATGCTTGGAAATTGGAAAGCTATCAGGAACCCGTCAAAGTAACTAGGGCAAACCCAGCAAAACATTTTCTCAACAAAACAGACATACAGTCAGAGTGGATGAGGGGTTCTGCCTTGGCTTTTGTCTGCTTAGGGTGAAATTCTGAACTCTACTATCAAGCACCACAATTAACAGTGG